CACACACACACACACACACACACACACACACACACACACACACACACTGAGTTTAAATGAGACAAAAGACAAAGTGCAAAAGCTGCACTGATTATTCTACACTTTGGTTGGATATCTTTATTTTTATAGCACCGCTGACTTAAGTCGTAAATTTTGTACGAGTAGCTGCAATTGGCGCAGCGCTAAACACAAGCATTCACCAATTTGTTGGCTGCAGCGCAGCTAAGGTGTCCTTGCGCCAAGGCTTGGTAGCGTTGTTAATTTGGGTGACGTTTGTCTTTTATGACACCTCAACTGCTGGCGTATACATACGTCTATACGTACATATATTGCATTTTCGCAACAGATCTCTGTCTCTGCTTAAGTGCTTACGTTCAGGACTATGTGTTGCAAGTGCAAATTGCAACCTGCAGCACTAAGCCACGCCCAACGCGTGCACGTATCATCAATTTACTAGGTTATTTTTAGCTCTACTTTTGTATTTAACATCTCCAATTGAAATGGCAAGTTTAACTCGGCAATATTGCGGATAATTAAATGTTAACAAGCTAACAACCCGCAGCGATTTCGTTTCGGATGTGTTGCGTCTGTTGGTTGTAAAATGCAATATGTACTTACAAAAATGAAAGTACGAGCGTACAATGAGCACACATGCACGATTGCACTATGTATGTACATACATATGTACGTATGCAGTTATCTACATTACATTAAATAATACAAACGAAAGTTCTGTATGTTATGTATTTGCCAGTGGGGACGTTGTGCACGGCTTCATAGTTTCACTTTTAATGTCGAAATTTGTTTTGTAAGAATTAATTAAATTAAAATAGCAAATTAATGTTAAACCATGGAGTGTAAATAATGAGCGAGTGGTACTCAAAGGTGAACAAAATTATGAAGGTCTTTCAATAAATTTATATGGCGGATTTCGAGGCAACATTTTCAATAAAATAATTGTATAATTTCAGGTCATAAAAGCTTTTGTGTCAGCCAGTAGCCGCGTATTTCATAATGGTAGATCGATGGATATTAATTTTGTAACGATAGTGACGAATAAGTCTTTTTATTAAAATGAAAATAATCGCTCTTATTTTTAAATTAAGCGATAAAATTCATTCTCAAATAAATTAATTAGAGGCTGATTCTATTTCAATTCATGAAGGGTGAATGGGTTCAAAACTCGAAATCAAGTTTAATACGTTTTCTCATATTTTTTTAAGATAAATAAAGAGACACGTATTTTTTTTTTGTTTTGTAAAAAAAAAAATCGCTGAGTTACGAGCATCTGAAAATTTTATGGCAAAGTGTGGTTTTTGAGAAAAACGGCTGACATTTTTTTTTTCAAATGTTTCTAATAAAATTGAAAAAACAATTGTAGGGTTTCCTCAAATAAAAAAAAAACTCTCAAAAAAAATTAGAATGTTATAAAAACTGTTCATTAAATTTAATTTTGTTTGGGTTTATAGAAAAATTTCAGTTATGCAGTTTTATATGTCATTAAATTTTAGTCTAACAAGGAGGTTGCATGGGGATAAAAGTTCCCTTTTAGCATGGAAATATGGTCGAAATATTTGCGAAAAAAATTATTAAAAATCAACGCGACCTCTTAGCCACTTGCAAATTGCACTTTATTATATGTACTAAAATTTAATGATATATAAATCTTTACACCCAAAATTTTCCTAAAAACTCAAAAAAATTTTTTTTTTTGATCTATTGAAACTTGTTTTTTTAACATTTTATTATGTAACATTTATTAAACGAATAGGATAATCAATTTTCTTCAAGGTTTCTACTTTTTCTGCACTTTGTCCTAAAAAATTAAATACAAACAAATAAGAAAACAAAAATCGGGCTCAACTAGTCTCTTGCTTTCATTAAAAAAAAAATGCGTCAAATCTGTTAAAAAATCAAGCGTCCAATGAATTATTAACAGTAAATTCTAGTTTTGAACCACTGTGCCATGGTAGAATGGTCTAAAGAAAACCTTAAGTAACCATTCTCGACTCTTAAGAAAATCGTATATGCTAAGAAACTGGACAAGGTTTAACGGCTGATTTCCTTACTACTAACAGCAGCCATGAAGACAACAGCTACCAACCCAGTGCCCAACACGTTACTAACATCTCTTTCGACGTATCTGTTTGCAAGAAAATTGCATGTAACACTGCTAATAGGCTTAATGGGACCAAGCAAAAATCGCATTCACATATAGATCACTGACAAGTTTTGAACGACCTTACTGGATTTTCTACAACCGACTACACCTCACCCACCCGCACTATCCACACCAAATTCAAGACCCGTCTTCCGTCATGCTTCCGAAAAGTTCCGAAAAAATACCGCGAAAATCTGGGATGGTCTCGAAAAAAACGAAAAATCACAAAGTATTATACTATACATTTATGAAAGTGGTTATTTTCTGCTCAAAAAATATCAAGAAAATTGTTTCTTCATTTTGCTAATGCTTTCCACTCGCCCAGGCGTGCGGCTCTGTAACTCGTCCTTTCGGACCGCCTGCCCTGCACGATATTCAGCGATACTGCTGCTCGGAATCTTGTCCATTCCGACAGTCGCAACAACTGCAATACATATACATATATGAAAAAAAAAATTCGAAATTTCTAAGCATTGCCGCAAAAATTTTAAATTTAATGGTAGTTTGTAATATTTGAAAACTTATTATTAGTTTCGCAAGAAAGATTCAATAAATAAATACATATTATAAAAAAAAGATCCTTGAAAAAGTAACAAGCAAAAACTAAAGGTATCCACACACCTATGCGATTCTGTCAGTCCAAATCTGTTCCGACAAAAATTACAACAATGCCGACCATAGTCTTAAATTAGGAACCACACACTTATACGATTTTGCTGCAGCGATTTATTCGAACATTCACAGTTCATCTTTTGGTCGTGCCGAAATTGCAGACTGCCGCGTTTTGAGAACGAAAAAGGTCAATAGAAGGATTTTACAATATAAAAACAAAATTGAACGTAAGAAAACAAAACATATTTGATGTAGAAAAGTTAAGAATTTTATTTTTGTTGAAAAATATTTTTTGTTTGTCTATAAACTGACAGTTTTTGCTGCGACAGATGATGCGTTTTCGAAGCAGTAACGTCTGTAGCATCAAAAACGGTGCAGATTCGTTGCGTTGTGTGGATACCTTAATCGGTGTTTCGCACTCAAAATAATAAATGTAAAATTTTTTAAAGTCTCGAAGAAATTCTATTCAACAATTGTAAGAGGATTATCTCTCTATCTTTCAATACGGGAATCACAATCTCTGCTTTAAAATGGCTATGCATACTTAATTGAGCTCAGTTAAAGCAGCTTAGGTTATTCTTAGTAGCATTTTAATGTTATTTTAAAATAAAATGATACCACAAATTGCGGTTAGGTTTTTTTTTTTTTTTACTTTTTTGCTACTAATTTGCTTCTGTTCCATTCTGTTCTGTTCTGTTCCACTTTGATAGATATTCAATTGAAACTCTATACTAATAGCAATTTAAACTTTTATCTCTATATATCTTTCTACCTTTCATCTCCATCCATTTTCCTTTTGCTCTATTTCCACAGCGATGATCCCACTGCCGAAGAGCTATCAAAATGGAATGCCTTTGTCGAATCAATTAAATCGAAACTAACTGTAAAACAAGTGGTTGATGGCGTACGTGCTGGTGGCTCGCTGACATTCGATTATATGCTTCTGATTCTGACCGCTTGGTGAGTACAATGGACAATAGCAATCAATAGAATGTAGATGATGAACATAGCGTTGAGAAAAATAGCATATAAAATGGGGAAAATGCGCCCGCAGTGATTTGATATACGTATCTATATTTACTTATACTTATTAGAGTGCTAGGAATGTGCTCAGAAGAGAGTAAGTATGTATGTATGTATTTAGGTCGAAGCGTAGTGAAGTCAAGTTAGTCAGAAATTTATTAGAATCGTCTTTAAATTTTAATTTGCATTGTTTTGTGCAATAAGTTTATAATGGGGAATGAAAGAATTTGTTTATCGCTTTCTGCTTACTTATTAAATATATATTTTAGTTTGTGTATTTTGGATTTTTACTGCATTTATTTCACTTTTTAATTCTTTGGTTTATCCAATTATTATATTTATTATTTCTAATAATTCTAAAATTCGACTTAATATATTTTCAATCCATTTTTTAGTTCTTTATCTGCCTTTGGTTTAATAGAAAACAATGCAGAAAATATTGTGGCTGCTATGTTGGTTTCACCACTTATGGGACCGGTGATGTCCATTACTTTTGGTACAATAATTTCGGATACACAATTAATTGTAAGTATTCGAAAGCAAAAATTAAGTACTTAACTTGTAAATACACTGATGGCAAAAAATTGTACCTTCTCTTTGACCTCTACGCACAAATACTAAGAAGAGGACAATGAGAAGGCAACATTTTATTCCTTACTGAAAAAAGTCCCTCGGAAAAAATTTACAATAAGGAAGAAAATACTAGAAAAAAAGAGTTGCATGCGAGGCATTTAGAAACAGAAATTGCTCTGTAACTCACTAACTTTATGTTCTCGCCAATCAAACGAATCGAAAAATTTTACTCGACGCATTTCTATGCCTGGGGCAAAAGTTACTCATACGCCATGGCGAACTCATTAAATTTGTTTATTATATTACCTTGACCTATTTTTTTTGCGCTTTAAATTAAAAATAAGCATTATGTATTTTATGCTAGCACATTATTAATTATTTCATATTGGTTATATATTCTTGGGTGTTTTTTTATTTCATTCTCATTGCAAACATTAATTATTCAGCGTTGCTTAGTTACTTTTCAAAGTTCGCCTTATGTGAATTGTTTATATTCCATTCCGAACTTTGCCATGCACTTCCGGTTTTATGTCACTCTGCGCTACTTTTTCTTTTTTAAAATTTTTTTCTTAATTTCATTTCATTTTCTATATTTCCGTCAACACTAGCCACGCGATGGCACAACGCACAACTGACTGAGTGCAAATGAAATGCATAAAAAATTGGAAATCCATTTCCTTTGCAGTATTCTGTTTACTCATTCATTAAATAAAAATTGCATTTTTCGCACCATGCGGCAAAGCGCATAAATGCATGAATACTTAATGTGACATTTACAAGTGAGGCCAATATGGCTTCATGACGACCACAGCCGCAGCTGAGTGCATAAAATAGTGCATAAACTATAAAAAAAAAAACGGTAAAACAAATACAAATAAATACATATATGTATGTATATACGCACGTGTACATATTTGCATGAATTTATAATTGTCAAATGATAAAATAAAAAAAAAAATAGAGTCTAAATAAAAATCTCCATATGCGCGCATGCAAATGAGTCCAAATTGGTGGCTGATATGACTGCCTTTTCAACCACTGTTAGGCGAGATATTTTCAGAATTTATTAAAAACGAAAAACGCAAAATTTATTGGCACAAATAACTAGTGGCATTGAATTGATATGTGGAAATGTAAATATAGTGAATTTATTTCATACCAGCTAAGATATGCACCTATGTACATACAAACATATTTGTGTATAGATGGCTGTTTTTTTTTTTTTTTTTTGTATAAACATAAGTTCCCAGAAATGCTATATAATGATGGTTTACGCTGATAAATAATCATCTCACACAAAAATTCAAAATTCAAGTAAAGAGCCGCCAAAACCAGGAGGCATTCTAGACGAATGGGGGTAGTATTTTTCATCGGAAAAAATATACAGTATGGAGCAGAAATGAGTACATGGTAATTTTTGTTAAATATTTGCAAGGGTTTTAAAGTTAAACTTTTTTTGTTATTTTTTCATATAATACCATAATTCATGCTTTAACCAAAACAATATTGAACAGACTTTCAAACTTAGTGCAGACCTTAGACGAATTTAACAAATTTTCATTAAAATTTTAAGTTTTTAATCTGATTTTTTCGAATTTTTTGGAGTATGCAAATTTAGTAAGCTGGCACTTATAAAATATCACTTCTCAGAACTTTAGCTAAAAGCCTTCAGAGATATGCATCATGAGGATTTTAGATTATATGGCGGATGCCGGCTCGCCCATCTCCATTAACTTAAAATTGTTCCGTCAGTACGGTACTGATAGAAAAAAGCCTCTACAAAGAATTTCGAATACTTCCAGAGATTTACTATATACAAATTTCACATTTATGGATGAGACAACGGAACCTTTTCCTTTTCCAATAATTCCGACTTTTCTCAACCTATACCCTTCCAGAGATATACAGTAGAAAAAATTCAATATTCCACATGAGTATGCGGTTGATTTCACATGCATATCTCCATCCCAAGCTTCAGTACTTTACCATAAATATTTGAAGCGATATTCAATATGAAAATTTCAGCTTGTATAGGATGGGCCATGATCCTTTTCAAAAAACCTACATTTTTCTCAATTAGTATCGAATTAACTTCACATACATATCTCCTTACCAAGTTCCATCACCCCAGTTTGTGTGGGAGGAGCCGCGCCACCCTTGATTTATCCAACGTAACTTTATACTAAGAGCTACAACCATAATCGTAATATAATAGCGATACTCACAAGGGCTTACAACACCTTGCGTACCACCGAAATATTTAATTACTTATTAGTTTATAAAAATTTCAAAACCCCATTTTGTATTTCTTCTTCACAATACATTCTCTGCTATAAAAAAAAAAATGATTTTTTAACAACTACAACTAATTTATAAGATGAAAAACGAGCTGCGCCATCTGCAACAGTAGCAACGTTAGCACGAATACATTAAAGCGCAAAGCACATACATACATATATACAAGTGCTTTTCGCTGCTATTTAACTCCCACAAGGCACACAACGAGCAAGGCCTCATTTGCGTTATGACGCCTAGACTTGCATTCAAATGAAGTTAATTTTATTGTGATTCCTCTTTTACTACCCGTGTCCCTATTTGTGTTTTTATTGACTGAAAGTCGACTGTTGTCTGCACGTCTTTCATAATAACGCAATGAAAAATCATACTTTCTGAGAGGAAAAAGCACAAAAGGTGCACAAAACGTGAAAGTTAAAATGAAGTCGGATATTAAAAAATGTCATCGTAGTAGTGCGGCCTTTATAAAAAGGTGACTGGAATTTATTCACATTAAAATGCTTACAGTGAAGGTGTGCGGTGTTCATAAAGAAGCACACAGCTGGGGCATGTAGCGCGCAAAGGTATGAGTGCACTAGCATCAGGCGTGCATAGAATTGCATTAAAATGAATATATATGAAGGTGTTTGTGGTAATGGCAAAAGTACTGCTTTCATCATCTGCTTTCATTTCCACGCGCCTAACAAGTCTGCCGTCACTCAACCAACCACAGCCAGTTTCTTAGTGTAAGTGCAGAGGTGCTTTGGTCATGTATGCAAGACTTAACTGTTAAAAATATATATTTAGGTATATGTAAACATACATATCTACACACGTATGTTCTTATTTGGTTGGTAAATGAAGTTGTAGTGCAGTCAAGCCATCACACTAAGTACATTCAAACCACTTCATCCATCAGCGCGCACCCACCCAGTAATTGGAGTAAACTAAGAGTGTGAATGAATGCCAGGTAGAAGGAGAAAGAGAATTATGAATGTGATCAAAAGCAATATGTATGAAAGGGTGTTATAGTTAAAGCATAGCCGTAAAGTTATGTAAACTAAAGTGTACTGTGAAATGAAAGGAGTAAAGCGAAAATGTAGAATGCAATAGAAAAATATTCATAAGTGTGTATACAAGTGTGTACATATTTAGTTGCAATACCTCAATTTGAAGTGTGCCGAGAAGTAGACAGAATGAGCTACTCCAATTAAAATTTTAATTTAGTTTACCGCTTGTACATAGTACATACATACATACATACATACATACCTAGTAATGCGTAAATTTCATACTAATTTGCCTGAACTCTTTATTGAACTTTGATACATGTATGTATGCACGTTCGTACTTGAGTAAGGTTCGTTTGAGCTGAAGAAAAGTTAAATTTTGTGAACAAATTTTCTTTGTAACACTAAAGAACTCAACTTGAACGAAAACTTATAAAATAGTCACTTTGAACTAAAAATGCAAGCGCATTCATGTCTATCGTTTTGTCCCCAAAACCTTAATTTTTTCTTTGAAGTTAGAGATCTCTGAAAATATTGAGAACAAGTGAGTGCTACAAAATAGAAGCTCTATGTAGGCCAAATGGATTTAGTTTATTTGTCGCTTGTACTTATGGAGAGCATCAGCAGATATTCGCAGTTGTGACTCTCTCGTGGCTGTTGCGGATTGAACAAAAATACGGCACAGAGTTCATTCTAGATAAGACATAAGCAACAATCGCTCTACTAACCTTTATGCTAAGCGACATGGCTGAAAAGGAAAACTTCTACAGGCCCACTGAGCTGTTGTGACTATGCTCAGCGCTTTGTAGGAGCTCATTCAGGCTATTTTCAAATTTTATACGAAGATATTTAAACTTGTTAGACTATCAAGTGCTTCCTGGGGGATTAGTCCTCCAATGGCAAAACAGTTTTACTCCATACGGTGGCGAAAATATAAATAGCGACGGAATATTTTAACAAGGTTTGGCTATTGTTCTTTTGTTCATTAAGCTATACATATAAAAAGTATTATAACAGGCCGGACATTACGGATTTATTACAGCAAAAGAAGCCAAAACAAAATTTTTTAGAATATTTTGTTTGTGTGTCTATCTGTCTGTATGTTTGTACGCGCATCACTCGAAAACTAATGCATGGACTTGAATTCAGTTTTCACCTGTGCATTGCTAGGGGTCTAACTTAAAATATAGATAGGAAAAAAATTAAGAGTTGTCTTCTGTTTAAAAATTGCAGTTTAAGTAAATTGACAAACTAAAGCACATATTGAAGTATGGTTGTCAAAAGAAAGACGTTTAAGCAGGCTTAAAGCTGAAAATATTTTTCTGAAGGTTGCCTCCTGTTTGAAAATTTTAATTTTAATTAATTGATAAGGTAAATTGAATATTAAAGCTCACTTTCATTTTTGTCATCGGTTTTTGACGTATGTATGTTTCGTGTTTGTAAATCAATTTACAACCGATTATAAAATGCTTTACTTTAGATACAATCACAAATTTTAAAGCAACCTTTAAATATAAAGTGAGCTTTAAAGTTACAGGCTACTTGAGAAAACGGTCCTAAATTGATAAAATAAACGAAATGTTACCATACGGGTATCAAACAGCAAAAAAATACTTTTAAGGCGCAGAGAAGCACGCCGGATTTTTGCTACTATTTTTTACAAAGTTA